ATATATTATATATATAAGTTAGTTACTTGAGTATGCTAGTCTATACCTTATGGTGGCTTATGCCTATAATCTCAGCACTGAGGAGGTTGAGGCAGTAGGATTGCTATGAATTTAAGACCAGCCTGAGTTATGTAGTGAGTGCTAGGCCAGCCTCAGCTGCAGAATTAGACCCTGTTTCAAAACAGCAAAGCATTCAGACTTCCTTTTCCCTAAGGCAAGTACTAACCAGAACCCCTCTCCCCAAAGCCAAAGCAAACCATAAAAATGAAAAGGGTCACCATCTCCCTTCTGGGAAGACCCTCATTCAGAGGGGTCCTGCCCTATACCCAAGAGGAAGGAAGGAGAGCTACAGACCAAGGAGAGTCTGAGAAGACAGGCTTTGGACATTAATACTAGATCACACCTGTTGTCTTGTGACATTTTGCTATGATCATCCAAGCATGAAAACATCGTTCTGGGGCTGGAGACATGGCTTAGCAGTTAAGAGCATTGGCTGCTCTTGAGGAGAACCCAGGTTCAGTTCTCAGCAGCCACATGATGGTGCACAACCATCCATAACTCCAGTTCCAGGGGATCTGACACCCTCTTCTGGCCTCTGCAGGCATTGTACACATATGGTGCACTTACATATATGCAGGCAAAACACTCATACACATAAAAAACCATAAATCAATCAATCAATCACAGTTCTGAGGGATTTTGAGCTTTCATTTCTCAAATCTCCCAAGTCACAGAAAGCTTTGGTTAAATACACTGCAAAAGAATATTGCAGTTCTTGGCGCTTGAGAAGGGCAGAGAAATGGGCAGCTTTGCAGAGAAACCAATGGTGTTGGCACTGGTGAAAGTCTTTAGGGGAAAGTCTTTAGTAGTGCAAGCAGGGATCTGAGAACTGACTGGGTCCAGACTATAAGTGATGTGAATGCTTTTTGAACGTTGTACCAGGGGCCTGGAATTTAGGGTCCCATCCACTCTAGATGAATGCCCTACCGTTGAGCTACACCCCAGACTCCAGATTGCAGAAGTCTTAGCTGCCTTCACAAACACAGCCTTGTAATTATCACGAAAACTCACCTAGCTTTCACCGTTTGTTTTAAGAATATCTGGCTTTTGTACCAGTTCCACTTTGGGCAAATGGACACAAGCCAAGGCCATATGGGCTAAAAATACCTAATCAACCCACAGTTTGCTGTAACATTTAACTAACTTTGCAGTGGGAAAGCGCAGTCCGATTAGTAAAATGAAGCTGCTTTCTTCTTTGGTTAAGAACCCCAAAGGCTCTTTATCATGATCCATTCTTTCCTTCCTTTTGCTGTCTGGCCCATGTAGGTTATTCTCACCAAAGTTGAGTCTCAAAGGCTGAGCCGGCCCGTGTCACTGATTTCCGACTTCAGAATGGCACACTTAGAAAGAGGCCTATTAGAAGTTCTGTGGGCTGATTTTGAAGCACTGGCACAGATAGAACTTGGCTCTGAGATCATTGCGCCCTCCTGCTGCTCTGCTACAAAACCCTCCCAGCCGCGCTCCCGGGCCGCGCTGCCTTTGATAAGGGTGATGGCTGCGGCTGGCTCCTTGGGGAGAGAGGAAGAGAACGTCTCTCAGATTTAGGCCAAATGCAGATAACTAGCGACCGCGTGGTGGGCCTGCCGGGCCTTAGCTTCCCCTCTTCAACCTGAGGATGTTAGACTACATGACCTTTAAAATGCCTTCCGGCTCCCGAAGGCCAGGAGTCTGATACGACTCTAGCGTTTTTCCACTTTCAGCGACCAGTCTGCGCTACAGCGCCCCTAGGGCCTGCAGGCAGGTGGTGCCCTAGCCTTCCCTGGTCTCCACAGCGCTTAGCTCTTATAATTGCTATCTATATAATTTACTTATTTAGGGTTTTGGAGACAGGATATCTTATAGCACAGGCCAGCCTCATGTTTGCTATGTAGTTGAGCCTGGCCTTGAACTCCTCATAATCCTACCTGCACCTTCCCACATACTGGGATGACAGCATTGTGCTGGTTTTATAGGCTGCAGGACTTTATGCATGCTAGGCAAGCAATCTACCAACAGAGCTACATCCCCAGCCTTAATGTCTGGTTTTTGATTTCCAAGAGTGGTTCAAAATACTGACCTCCAAAGATGTTTACACCCTAACCCCTGGGACCTGTTACCATGCCATTCAGCAAGTATGATGATTAAGGATCTTGAGATGGGAGGATTATCCTGAATCATGTGGGTGGATACAGTGCCATGACAAGGGTCCCTATAAGAAAGAAGCAGAGATGAGTTGCAGAGCACAATGAGGCCTGATGTGGGACCACAGTCAAGGCATGAGGCCCTAGATGCTGCAGAAAGTAGCCAACTTCTTCATCCCATAAGCCTCCAGAAAACATTCCACCTGTCAACACCTTGAGCAACCCCTGACAGCTATTTTGAACTTCTGGCCTACAGAACTATAAGATAATAAAACTGTGTTGTTTTGAGCTGTTAAGTTTGCAGAAATAGGTTTCAGAAGCAAAGGGACCCTGAGGCACCTGGAAAAATAAAACCTTCCCAGGAATTCCTCTACCAAGGAACTGTCTCTAAGCCATGTGGCGGGGCTGGGATCCACAGTGGCCAACAATGTGAATGTCAATGTGAATGTGTATGTGATATGTGTGTGTGTATGTCTATGTGTCTGTGTGTGTCTCTGTATGTATGTCTCTGTGTATGTATCTGTGTGTCTATGTGTGTGTCTTTGTGTGTGTGTCTTTGTGTGTCTCTGTGTCTGTGTCTGTGTCTGTGTGTGTCTGTTTCTGTGTGTCTCTGTCTCTATGTGTGTGTCTGTATGTGGTGCTGGTGATCAACTCCAGCTCAACTGGTAAAATGTTTGCCCGGCATGTACAAGACCCTAGGTCCCATCCCTGGAACTGTGAAAACTGGATGTGATGATGCTTGCCTATAATCTAAGCACTTGGGAGGCAGAGGCTGGATGATCAAGAGTTCAAGATCATATGCAAATACTGAGTTTGAGGCCAACCTTGACATGAGAACTTGTCTCAAAGAAGAAAAAAAAGAAAAAAAGGAAAGAAAAAAGGAAAAAGAAAGAAAGAAAAGAAGCCAGACAGGATGGTATACTCCTTTAAC